CTGCGCACCTTCTCCTCCAGCTCCACGCAGAGAGTGGCCAACAGAGCCTGGCAGCGTTTAATGGACTCTTGCTCATTCCTTCGGCAGTATTCCTCCTTCCGGTCATCCAGGGTTTTCTGGCAGGAAAGGAGATACAGAGAAAGGACACGGCTGATAACTCTCAGGGACATGCCTCTTTCCTAAGTCTCTGGCTGCATGGAAATCCGCACCCAGTCTTCTTACTGTTCTCCAGAGAGGAGAGCATGCAAGATGTCTCCACACAGTTCGAGACAGAGAGCAAGACCCTGAACTTTCCCATATTCAATTCTGCCACATAAGACGGACCTTTGTAACTTTGAAAGCCTGCCATTGCTTCTTGAATTGCTAGAGCTCATTTGCTCTGCTGCTGCTGTGTTTGGAAGCTTCTGCTCTGCTAAACTGCTACATTTTGCTGATGCTTTATTTTACTGCTTTTTCCTTTTTTTAAAAACTAGACACCTGTGTACCCGGGAGTGCTTCTGTGACCCTTCTGTGCTGGGACTCCTTTCCTTCCCCATGAGACATCCCCCCCCACCCCGCTATCGGTGCTTACCAATGGCCTCATCTCGTAGGGTAACCTACCATGAGTTTAGCCTGGAAGTGGCTCTTATCATCCTTGAAAGCACGTGCCATGAACACCTGGAGGGCCTCCTTCTCACATTCAGCATGGACCCCCAGCAGCTCTGGAACGCTCTCCGTGGGCAGGCTCAGCCTCTCCTCCATCAGTTTCCCATAGTGAGCCACAGCCTCCTCCATGGCAGCCGTGTTCTCCATCTCTGCCAAGACCAGCACCGCACTCTCCAAGCAGGGCACCTTACCACTGCAGATGGTCTCCACGTACGTCTCCGCCAACTTGGCCAGCACTGTAAGGAGGAAGATGGCAAGGCAAGCGTCAGATGATGATGCCAAGTACTATGTGGAAGCAGGGGTCTGTCCTAGTAGCCGGAGGGAGGAGGCATGGGTCCCACCTCGTTTGGCCTTTGGCCTCACAAATTGCCAGTGGGACCCGGTGCCCAGAGGCAGAGGAGGATAGTCTCCCCAGATGAAGAAGGGAAAGGCCAGAGATTGACCAGCATCACAGTGCAACTGTGGCATCAGCTCAGAGGAAGGAGGGTGGGAGGGCAGGACGGACTCACGGTGCCCAGTGAACACATGCCCCCCAGGAGGGTCTTCTCCTTGGATGTCCCATAGATGTAGTTGCAGAAATGGTCGGCCTGCTCCACAAAGTCGGGCTCTAAAGGCAGCCCAGCTTTAAAGATTCCTTTTAAGAACCAGGACCTGGTTTTCCTCTCTCAAGCACAGCACAGAGAAGGCCTCTTCAAAATGCAACCGAGGCAAAGGGCCAGGACTGGGGCGGCTTGAAGGGCTTGAGCACGAGTCCCAACTCCCCCTCCCCCGGCCACTCCTAGAGCCTGGCTTACTGGCTCCCGTCACGGGTTGGCCCCCGGGGACCATCTTGCACTTGGAGGTCTCCCAGATGTGTTTGCAGAAACGGGCCACTGCTTCCCGGAACCTCTCTTCCAAATCTTCCTCCTGCAGCTCCTCCAGCCGCTGCAAGTTATTCATGGTAGTTGGCCAGACAAAAGTGAAGCACTTCCGGGAAGGAAAGAACTTGCGGATGCACAACCGGGGCTCGTTGCACCTTCTGATCTGCTCTGTGTCACCTGCAGAGGAAGGACAGGCAGTATTGATA